AGTTTCTATTTGAGACCTTAGTAGTAACATGAGATCACGCCTTTACAGTATTCAATTTAGATTTACGCTAATATAAAATTTAAACATAATATTGATATATATTAAATTTTAGTCATTATATCAAATTTAAATAATATTAAATTAAATAATGTAATTAACTTTTATTTAAAATAATTATTTGAATAATATAAAAATTTTAGAAGAAAATTTCTATAAGATAATTTTGAATAATATCCTATTTAAAAGGTATAATTATATAAAATAGTTAATTATAAATTGAATGAAATAACAATTAAAAGTAATAATTAATTAATCAATAAATAATATATTTCTTGTATTATAATTTATCTATTCAAAATTCAAAGAAATATATAATTGTATCCAATAATATATCGCATACAATAGTTAAAAGAAATTCTTCAAAGTTATTTATATACACAAAAACGTTTATGTTATAAAATTAATTTTGTTACACATTCAAATAAAATTACCTTTATTGATATCAAATCAATTTATAGAATATTAATAGCATAAAGCATAAATATAGAATATATATATATATGTTAATTGAAAAATATTAAAACTTATTTAAAAAAATGAAATAATTCTGAAGTTCTTAATCATACCTTCAAACAAACATTCCTCAAAACGTTTGGTCTTTAATATTTAAATGCAATACAATATTGTAATTTAGTGTTAAAAGTATATGAAAAGCTTGAATAATAGTTGTATAATAGTTGAACTTGAATAAAGATATGTCATTATCGAGAATAATAATTATCTATTTTTACAGTAATACTTTCAAAAATAGCTTTCACCATTTTGGACAGCAATTTCATAATATAAACATTCTTTATACTATATATCTAATTTCATAACATAATAATTAAAAACATAATCTACACATTTAAAAAAAAATGTTGCAAATAAATTTTATATTTTAATGTTTCAATCGCATACATTTGTTTTTATATAAATTTTTTTTTTTAATAGAGCTTATAAAAAAAATTTTGTCAGAACTTTGCGTCCCTTATTTATAACTTATTAGTTTTATTCAAATAATTAAAAGAACATTAATATTAATTTTAGATTAATTAAGATCCGTAGTATTTTGTTAGATAACGAAAAGGTAATGCAATGTGGAAAATGGTAAGTTTCAATTAGGCATTTAGAAATAAAATCTGAAACTACAATGTAGTTTATTAATAATTGTTTTACTCTAATTGCTGAATGCTCGATATCGCGAAATCCATGTATGTCTTTTATTGGAGAATAACAATGAATAACAACGGTTATTTTTTAATGATCAACGCAATGGTAAACGCAAGCTGTATTGTATCTATTAAACTATGTGAAAAAAATTGCATGTCAATGTTAATAATTACGATTAGCTCAAGAATTAAAATTACAAATTTTGATCGAAAAATTTCTCTGATTGTGTACGAATGAAAGATGTTTATATATTCTTATATTTACTCTTGGTATGTGCTCATGTTGATATCTATTTAGAATCTGTATTCAAGATTTTACTGCGAAATAAGTAGCATTTGCCATTTTATTTTTTTTGCCATTTTGAAATGAGTTCATGGATCTTTTAAAAATATTTATAATAATTGTACACTACCTTAAATAAAAATAGACAATATTAGAATAGATAATAATAGAGCGATAATGTTACCAAGGATTTTTGACAAATTTGTTATAGTAAATGATTTAATTCTGATTTTTATCGTTCAAAGAAAATTTTTGGAAACTGATTAAAGATAATAACTTTATTTGAAAGCTATAGAATTAATAAATTAACGGCAGAAATTAATTGATAAATCGTAAATTAATTAGAAAAAAGCAATCCCAATTATAAAATTGATAGCATGTAAGTCATCGCAAGTATGTTAGTATATATACATATATATATATACACATATATTTTTTTAATTAGATGCGGACGTGCAATAATGCAAATATAAAAAAAATCCTTGATAAGTATTTTAAAAATTTTAAACATAACGCTTTTCAAGTTAAGAAAGTTAATCAAAGCTATTTCATATTTCATATTTCAACAATGATTGCTGAGTCTTGCTCTCCGTAAATCGGGCTTTTCCGCGCGAATTGTTCTTATCGAAGGCAAAGCTGTGCAAGTTCGCTTGTCAGGCTGCTAATTGTTAAAGCCGAGCATCGCTGACTCACAAACCTAACAGCAGCTACAAAGGTGTAACGATCCATCCACGGTAAATCGATGTTCGACCCCTTGCTGCTCTCTCCCCCGCGATGCCCATCGGGTTGCAGGGGTCAACGCCAATTGCGGGGTGGGGACGTCAGGAGGTGGGGCCCTGGACAACCGGTGCGCGCGACCCCCACAGCAGCCACTGCCAATGGGGCGGTCTGACGAGAGTTTAATGGAGGGCGGCCCAAGGCGTACGGGGGTGACTCGATGATCCTCTCCCATAGTCTCCAGAGAGTTGAGAACCCCGAGAGCCGCCATGGAGACCAATGCTTGAGCTTCACCTTATTTTTTCTTCCCCATGTTTGGAAGCACCTCGCTGGAAAACGAGCTACGAATAATATAAGATTAGTATTATTCGGGGCACCCGCTTTAGCCAACTTTAGAGATTATTTGCTTTGGCACATTCTAAGATTGAACGAACGTTATTCCTATATGAAATCGGTCCTTACAGTATATTGGCAAATTAATAGTATGACAATGCGATTATTTAAGCGTATAAATAACGCGTATATATAAATAATAAATATATAATATATATATATATATATATATATATTAATTATTGTTAAATTTGTCATATTGTTTTATTAATTAATGATAAACTACAACGGTATAAGAAAAGTTTGATTTGAATATTCTACTAAAGTTACGAATTACATTACTTTATAATTAAATTTAAGAAAACTTATAAAATGAGTGTCATATCAAAAGTTACTACAAATACACCAATAAAATTGTTTTTGCACTGCATTTAAAATTTTGTTTCTTCATTTCGTTGGTATTGTATCTTTGAAAATTTCCAATAGTGCTTGTGTATTGCGATTCTTTTATGTATTAAACAATAATCTTACAGTTTAAACTTCATTATCCAAGTATATAATTATAGTTATGAGCATATACATCAATTCTAATTGCTTAATGAATTGGGTTTTATGATAATATAATATTTATATTATAATAATATTGTTATAATAATATTTTTATAAAATATTGTATGTAATAGGTTTTATAATAATATTGTATAATGTATTTTTAACTATCCACAATTTTTTTTCGAAATTCCGATTTAAATCTATCCGTTGTTGATTAAGCTTAAATAGAATATTATTTACAAAAATTATATTTGAAAAATAAATCTATTAAATAAATTAAGAAAGATTAAGGTTGAGTTTATATTGTTTCTAATAGATCATTTAATAATCATTTATTAAATATTTTTCCGTTTAAATATCCTATGATGTCGCAATTTACAAAAAATTCTTTAATAATTTTATCGCGTTTTATCTGAGGAGGCTCTTGTAATTTCACTTATGGTGGAAATCTAAATAAATATTTCTATTGCCTTGTATCACTTATTTTACTTTCAGTTTCTTATGATGTATTGAGTATAGCGGCAAAAATTGAAAGCAGTCGAATTCAGTTTAGTTATTGATTAAATAATCGACCAACATCTTTCCCGCGATTACCATTCATCGCCATCGATTACCCCGATAAGCCTTTAAGTTTTTAATAGAAACAGAGTTGAGTCCTCAGTCCCTGCCTTAAGTCACAACAGTATCTTAGGAGGATGCAGCTTGTCTTCTAGACTGCCGTATTGTATTGTTTGTCCGTTTCGCGATTGAAAATTCGCGGGGGCAATGCTCTCACGATATAGCATTATTGCTGATCGAGTGATAGGGCTTGCTGCTACACAGTTGACTGTTGATCCGCGAGTGGCTGCGAAGCGTAGAATTAGTGGTGCGTTGTGGAACGATAAAGGGAAATAAATCGTGCGCGAATGGCAGCTACCGGTTATTCTATTTTCATGGCCTTCGTTCGTTTTGCCGAGCTTTATCTGCTAATAATATAATGGCGCGTCGCTGACTTTCTTTTTCTTTTTTTCTATCTCCGTTTCCCTGGTTACTTCTATTTTTCCTTTGTATGTGCAGGTAAATGCAGTCGGATGATAATGCAAAGTGTCATTGCGAATAGTGTCATTGCGAAGAGGTACCGTCAGACTTATTAGCGAAATTATTGTAATTCGCATGTTTATGAGGCACAATCTAATGATTTTATACTTTACGTGGCTTTACGTTTGATGTCTTTAAAATCTATAATTCAACGCGCTTTACGGGGATGTTGGGGATATGTAAATCATAGAAATACGTTTGATATCAACGATTTCAACGAGTAATTTCTTGTATTTTATGAGAGCCATCTATTTATCCCCACCAATCAATGCCACCTATTTATATTACCGTATTGTATCAAATAGAGTTTTATTATTTTGCTTCGAAGTTTCTAATAATGAACGATAGAAACTCTATTAAATTTCCATATGAATATAACGTAGCTTTATTCATATTAAAAATACTGTGTACAGTTTTTTAACATTAATAACAATATGACGAATAGCATTTTCTGTTGACCAGTATATACGATGATAAACAAAAACAAGAAAGATAAAATATCGAGATAAAATATTTTATAATTGAATCAAAACTTTGTTTAATGACAATTTTCTCTACACAATTTCATTTAAAAACCTTAGTACATCATGTTTATATAAATTTTCTCGTTTCATATTTCTCTATTGCTTTCTCACTTAGTTATATATTTATACCAATTGTACAATAACATTAATTATTTCATGCAAGTACCAGTGATGATAATTTGATAGACAATTTACATTTAGATAAAAGTACAATTTCACCTTTCTCATCTTGGAATGCTCTTAATCTTGACTATGAATGTTAATGCCACAGCTCACAAGGCCATTCGAGCTATGAGCCGATGGGTGTAAAAATACGAATCGCGCATTGCCCGATGGATTTTGAAAAACAATAAATTTCCAGCTGAGTTTTCCTGTTGGGAGTTCGTTTTTTACATTGCACTTCTGCTAGTAAGTGTCGATGGGCGACAACAGCACGATTGACAACGTTTTTAAGGTGGAGGAATATAAGGTCTCCCCGCCAGAGCCGCATTGTAATTCCGCCGTGACCGAGAGGTTGGCCTGCAAAGCGACGCCATCACCGACGGGCTATCGTGACTATAAACCACCAATTGAGGTTCTTCGGCAGTCTACCTTTACTAAGTCTAAGCTCTCCGACACCATTTGGAACGGTTACTACAAGCATGACAACGATAATCCAAAGAACAGCGTACACAAAGTAAGGGAATTTCATTTTTATACATACACGTTCTATATCAGCCTATGCAAGCAAGTCATTACTCGGTGTCAATTCTTGCTGTAAATCTAATAATAGTTCGTTATTATTAATCTTTTGATCTAATACGCTTTTTTAAATTTATAAATATAGAACTTTTTATTTATTACCTTTCTGTATCTAGAGTAAAAATGTGAAGTTGTATCGAACAGATATGGATAATCATTATGTTTAAGTTCTTAGTTTTAGCCATAAATTATGTTAACTTATTAAATGCATTGATACTTTGGTGGTTTAAAAATTAAAAATAGTAATTCAAATTTTTATATCTAGTACCTAACTCTAGTTAGTGTTACAGGAAACTTTAAATCAGTAAGTTTTTCGAATATGTTTAGTTTATTATTAATTTTATAATTAATTATTTTTTATAAACATATTTTACATAATGGTTAAATATATATTACGGTAATCAAGCATAGGAATATTATCCATTAATAATAAATTCTTCTTGGAAGTAAGAAAATCGATACAGGCTTTTAGTTGCTTATGCTATTAAAATGAAAAGTAATCAGAGCGAATAAGTAGCCAAGGTACACTATCAAAGGAAAGGAAAAGAGGTTAAACAGCGTTGTAGTAAAGAACAGTGATCAAAATAACGATCAATAATACCTGCGCGTCAGTCGGAGGTATGTAGAATGGTCAAACTCTTTTTGTCATCCATTTGGCCTCTTTCTTTTCCTTCTCCTCTTCGTTGCTCTCCTTTCCTTTTCTTTCTTCTCATCAGTTTCTCTTTTCCCAACTCTTGTGTGATTGCAAAAAGATCGGTAACCACGATTAGCAGTTACATTTTATAGACTGTCGCTGATTCTCTTCTTTCACTTAGTGAATTAACATGAATTACCGATGCCGAATCGCCAATCGCCACCTTCTTGATTTGTAGAATAAAAAAACAGCTTGGAGTGTGCAGTTAAGGCATTTTAACGAGTAATTGCTGGTACTGTATTCGGAACCCATGTTTTATATTTTCCTTATTCCACCGTTCTCACGTACTAAATCATTTAATTATATCAAAAGAATTCTATGGAATCTTTAAGATCCGAATTAGCGAATTGTGTTTCTTTTTATTTTAAGGTATAAAACTTTTAACTAATGTAATATACTCCGCAGCAAATAATTATTCAATGTTGTGAATACATGCCGACTTGATTATAAAATTTTTCAGTTAATATTAGATACAGACTGCAAATTCAATATAATAATACAAAAAAATATAGAATAGTACGATATAAAGAGATGATTTAGTCAGTTAAAATAAAACACTAAAATATTATTTAAAATTTTTATAAATTATAAAGTATTTGATAATTATACTGATAAAGAACATAATACTAGATAAAAATGGATACTCATAAAAAAATTGTTTTAAACCAAATTAATTGCTCTTCTTATTTGTTAGTTTTGCACTATAATTTTTTAAAAATTTTAATTATTAATTAAATAATTTAATTCATTTCAATAATCAACCAATAAAAAAAGTTCTTCAAATGAGTTTAATCGTAAAGTATGATACGCATACAAATAATAATTGTCAAATATAATTATAATATTAGTATACTCTTTAAATAAATAATTCAATCATTTCATTATTCTGAAACAGCGTGTAGTATTTCAAAATTTATGTATTTTTGTAATTATATTTTATTTGTAATATGATAATAATAACATATTAGTATTTTACTTAGCTATAAATACATCTTTCTACATAAAATAGCTTATAAACGCAAATTTTGAGAAGTATTGTTGTTTTTACATATTGTATATATAAACTATAATTTAATACAAATAGGAACTGAAAAACTATAGAAGTAATTAGAATACATATATAAATTAACTATAAAAATTTTAAATATACTTATTCTTATAATATTATTATTGGTTTTTTAACAATTACTTTATAATCAAGTATATAAATTATATATCATTTTGAAGTTTTAATGATACGAAAGAGTTTAAAAATAGTAATGAATAATTTTATGGAAGTATACATTACATTTTCCCATTTCTCAATTCCAAAAAGAATAAAGTAAAGTAAATAAAGTAAAGTAAATAACTTAAATAAATAAAAATAAAGTAAATAAAGTAAAAAAAATAAGTTTACTTTTTATTAATTTAGATATGGTTGAATAAATATTTCAAGTAATAGGTAACATAATAAATTTTTTATCATTAATTTTTGTAGATAAAGATGATGCACTACATAATTGACTTTTCTACATAATTAATTTTGTTAATTATTTAAGAATATTTGTTTTAATTGATGGATCTGTAATTAGATTTTATGTACATAAAATAGTTTGCAATTATGATCTAAATATCATTATTATATAAATAGTAGTTAATGCAATTTCCACTAAATGTGATCATGATATTTGCACAAATATCTATTATTATAATTTTATAAATGTTTTTCATAAATATTGTATTGAATTTAAAGATCTTCATTTAAATAATAAATGTAATTTTTTTAAATATTTATTGTACTTAAATTTGTTAATATATATAAGTTGAGATTTGTTGTAAAATTTAGTAAATGTTATGTTTTATTCATTTTATTGTTAAGACTTTAGAAATGTTTCTGTAGTCATATTCTGTATTAAAATTATATTGAAAATATATAAAATAATTATATGCATAAATTTTGAAATAATAAAAAATTAGAATTATAAGTAGATTAAGACAATTAAAGTTAGTGATTAATTATAGGTAAAATGAACTACGTTCTATTAGATTAGTATCTATATATTTTTAGTGATAAAATCAGATTAAATTTTCATACTGAAAGATGTAATCTTTAAAATATTATATGCAGAAAGTTTAGAAATCTAATATCGAAATCTTCATAAAATGAAATTTTAATTTACAAATGTCGTTCTGATATGTTTCTGCATCCTTTTAGTTTAGTGCATACTTTATCTAGGAGCTAGTAAAAAGAAATAATTACGTAAGCATTTTATGGTTGTCAGTCTTATAACTCATCAATAACCCTTTTATTCGTTGTCTTCGTCGAATTGAGTCCGAGTGGTCGCAACGTTCGAATATACGAAAGTTAACGAGAGAGAGAGAGAGAGAGAGAGAGAGAAAGAGAGAGGACACGAGATAGCCGATCTGACGATGTTCTTTGGCGAACCAAATGAAACCGGTAGGGGGTCTATCATCTCCAGCCGGTTTTTGCATCGTGCTTTCCTTTTCCTCGTCGGTCCTCGCATGCATAATCTTCGCGCATCGGCTACGCTACGAAAGCCGCCTTTATATTCCAAATGCGGGAGATGCCGCACTTCTCTTCCTCCATCCTATACTTCCATTCTCTCTCTCTCTCTCTCTCTCTCTCTCTCTCTCTCTCTCTCTCTCTCTCTCTCTCTCTCTTTCTCTCTTTGTTATTCTCAAGCTATCTTTACAATTGCAGTTGACTCGTTCATGCGAAAACTTGCCCTCATCGTCTTCATTTGTAACTTAATACCGTTGTAACTCCCTTACGTATTTTACGAGTTTATTGAATAACCGGGGTCCAATCTCAAAAACGGAGCAAAAGGTATCGAATAACAATTCTTAAGGAGTCGAATCGAAATTTAAAATCGAAATATTATTTTTTCTACAATATATGTTATTTTTTATAGTGCATTTCTCATATTAACGTATTGTCATTTTAAACATAATTTGTAAAATAGTTTACAAATTATCAAATATAATGGCAGAATACTTATAAATAAATAACAAATTTGAAGTTATTATATTATTAATTTTATAAATCAATCGTAAAATTTAATTATCATAACAATTACTTTCATATTCCTGTACTTGAAATATATGATACATTTTATTATAAACAAATAATAAGTCAATATTTTCGTTCAGTGCTTTGATATCAATCTTCATTTATTATTTAATAATCACAAAATCTCAATTTATACATGTATTTACAATAAGTTATTTATTGTAATTTAAAGAATTATATTAAATTTTTACTGTTATTAAAAAGATCGTCTCATCTTATTTTAATAGTTTTAATTGGCATTTCGAAAGTTTTTAATAGAATAAATTATTGTTCAAATGTCTGTCATATCCATAAACTCGTTATTATTCACTTGCATAACCCATTATTAATCAAGCTAATTTTTTTGTAATAAATCGACTAAGATTATTTTGAAAATAATGTAACTCTATCTTGAAAATCTTTTAATTTTGTCAATTTCATTTATAAACTCTCTAACTACATATTGAATATTCATTAGACTTTACATTATTATTTATATTTACTTTTAAAAAGAAATATCAATTGCAGAATATTTATTTTGATTTTCATGTAAGTGAAATTATCGGCAAGTCTATATCTCAGCTATAATATAACAAAGGTAATTTTCGTTGTTCCCCCTCATTAACAAACGCTATTTACGAAAAGACCAAAAGCCGCTTCCTTGTAAAGGAAAATATAATGGGAAGGAGTTTCCGATAGCCACAAAAAGCACGTACGTTGGAGAATGGAAAGCTTTAACAAGCCTGGGATGAAAGCAGTGGTCAGTAAACGTTGCTTTCGCTTTAAAATACCAGTTCACTTGAGTATTCGCCTTCTATTTTGCCTTGGGGACGCGGATTATCATATCCGCGTGCAAGGACCGTCGTTCTTTGCGCTAATCTCGTAAGCATCGGTCATTCGCGAGAAGTCGGCATTAAACGTGGGGCTGCGGGCTCACGACTTCTTTCTACAGTCTTATCACTTTAAAGAGTCCACAGAGCAAAAAAAAATGAAGGAGAGCGAGAAAGGGAGGGAGTGAGAGAGAGAGATGAACGCGGTGAAAAAGAATGTGGTGAAGGTGGTGAAGGAGAATCAAAGAGGAGGAGGAGAAAGAGGAGGATTAAAGGCCGCAACTGGCATTTTACGAGATGCAGACACATACTCGTGCGCCCATCGGATTGCAGCCCAGCCGGAATGCGATTAAGCGGGAAGC